ATGGGGCCAGTCTGTGAGCCAGACTTTACGTGTTTATTTCATTTAAGACTCCCCAGGAAACCATAAAGTAGAAACTGTTATCCCCTTCATTTACAAAGAAGCATTTACAGAGAAGCATTCACAGAGAAGTCAGGTAATGGGCCAAGATCTCCCAGCTAGTCAAATGGACTGTAGACCTCAAGTTCCTTTTGCTCCTTTACTGGGGTGGGACAAGACAGTCATGGGATTGTGGTGAAAGCTGACATTTTTTTTTTTTTTTTTAAATTGGGAAGCAGATCATAGCGCGCATCCAACCCTCTGGGGCACTTGAGACTTTATGTTGAATGCTAATGATCTCTTCTAGTGAATGGTGAGGTGGATGGGCAAAGCTAGAGACCTTTGACTGTAGCCGGAGTTTGGCTGAAGCGGGGCAGGTGAGTGACAGGTGAGATCTGAGAAGGATTTCCCACAGGATGATGCCAAGATGGAATTGTTCCCAGTTCCCAGAGTCTGTCCCAGTTTCCCCTGAAAAGAGCCTTCACCTTCAAGAATGTTCCTGACCTTAAAATAGCAGTGAGCAACCTAGCCACAACCATATGGTAATCTTGAGCTCAGAAAACCTTGCTTTTCAAGTCTGGATGACACACTGGAGCAAGAGGCCACATGCTTGGGTAATACGGAGCAAGCTAAGGGCCTCAATTTAAGGGCTTACCTGCTTCCTAGAACTGCCGTGTGTGCTCAGAAGAATTAGACTAGGATATAACCAGCTGTCTCCTGTGGCTAGAAGCTCCTAGACCCCAGAGCTCATGAGGTGGCCAAGGACTTTGGACACTCCAGTGGCACTAGGTGATTTTTATTTCACATCTATCCAGACATAGAGGGCTACGCTCTTTCCTGTTTGCCCAGTGATTAGAGATCAGGAAGGACTTAATTCTGCGCCCTCCAGGTGTTGAGCTGGTCTCCCACTCCCTCTCTCTTTGTGAGCCTGGGATTCTGGCTGGTTGCTGACCCACTTGGAACTCTCATTATTCTTTCACCTGGCCAGGCACCCATCCAGGACAGTCCTTCACATTCATTCCTGGAGCAGGACTGTGCTGAAGGAGAGGTGGTTCCTGAAGGAGACTCCAGCCACCTCATTTGTTGTCTGGCAAGTCCCTTAACCCAGCCAGCCCCAGGTAATTACTGGCAACCATCCTCCCTATCGCTAGCTTGTTGCCAGGTGTGTGGGTGTGGCAGAGAGCCAGGAACTCTCTGCTGCAGCTGCCGAGGCAAAGCCCCGCTTCTCTCCGTGCTCTAGTTCTACCTTTACACTAAACATTAGAGAAGAGCTGTTTTGTTGTTGTTGTTTTTCCCTCAAACTTTGCTTCCAAGCTTCTGGAGGGGACACAGAACAGCACTGGGTTCAGAGAGAGTTCTGTTCATGTTTCATTCTTGCCTCACCTGTCTTCTGTCTTGGTCCTGTCTTCTGGCTAGACAGGGATTTACCTCAGGAATTGTTCCTGCGGTTTGACTTCTGATTCTGACTTCAGCAGGGAATGAGGCTTGTGACGTTGTCCAGCACACGTTTCTGTTCAAGACGCTCAGAGAACAGCAGTGAATTAAACATTAGATTAAACATTGTCAGGGTAGGGCTTCTATTCTAGTGGGACAGAAGGAAAATATGTGCTGTTCTGCTCAGATTTATATAAATAAGATATGAGCACCTCAAAGGAGAGAAAGTAGAGCAGAGAGGTGTGGAGTGCTCCTGGGGAAAAGGCAGTCAAAGACTATCAAACAGGAAAATGACTGCTGGGTGGTGGAGCACGCCTTTAATCCCAGCACTTAGGAGGCAAAGGCAGGAGGATCTCTGTGAGTTTGAGGCCAGGCTGGTGTACATAGCAAGTCCAAGACATTTAGGACTACACAGAGAAACTCTGTCTCAAAAAAACAAAGACAAAAGTAAAACCAAAATAAGACACACACACACACACACACACACACACACACACACACACGCACAGGCACACGCACAGGCACACGCACAGACAAACACACAGAGTGAGGAAAATGACATTCAGTCACACCGTATGCATTCGGACTAGTCTCCTGACTTCTGTACTTCAATCTGCTTGGTTTTGTCAGAGGGACCAATGTCTCGCTGTAAGTGTGTAGAAAGAAACCAAGGAGTATTCGGAATAAAACACCCAGGAACTTCATCCATGCGAAGCATGGTGATCATGGGGGCAGCAGGGTTTCAAAGGTAAATTAACAAAGCCTTGGGCTGAGACCAGATCTGTGAAGTATTCCAGCATGCCTCAGTTCTCTCACCGGGCCTACTTTCATTTGGTTTGCTGTCAGACTCTAATATCAGCAGAGGAATATTTCACATGCTTATGCTTTTTTCTTCTTCTTCTTTAAATAACACCGAAAGTACTGTTATATAATGAACTGAAAAAGGGGGTGGGGCAGGGGAAGAGTAGAGAACCTTCGATCACCTATACCTACCCCCCTCTGAGCTTCTGCACTTCAAGGCAGATCTGGAGCTATCCAGTTTTGGCTGGATCCCAACCTCAGAGTAGCCTGGGGGCTACTTTGCTTTGTGTCACTGGGCAAATTGAGTCACTTCCCTGGGTTCTGTCATTGTATATACATTTAGCTTTCAAAGCCAAGTGAGCTTTAGGGTTCAATATGCAATCGTACACTACTTAGTCAAATGGTGATGACAATCAGGAAAATGGCTCCCCCACCCCACCCCTTCACTGTGGAGGGACTCTATGGACAAGCTCCTTGCTTCAGCAGTCTGATTTCAGGGTCAGGATTTTTCCATCATGAAAAGACACTGAACTTGTATTTATGCATTTGACTTTCAGATTGTGTTGGTTGAGCTTACTTGCTAACTTGATGAAAGACAGAGAGAGAGAGAGAGAGAGAGAGAGAGAGAGAGAGCGCGAGCGCATTCAGGGTGTGTCTTCGAGAGAATTTCCAGAGAAGTTTAACTGAGAAGAGCCACCCTGAATATGGGCCAGTATGACTAACCCTGTCACGCCTTCCCCACCACCATGGACCATACACCTTTAAACTGTGAGCCAAAACAAGCCCTTCCTAATGCAATTGCTTTTCTCGGGCCTTTTGTTACAGATACGCAAACAGCCCATCTGTTAGACACATCCTAATTACTCCTAATGGAGTCTTCTAGGAATTCCACCAGCTGAAAAGCTAGAGATTTTTTTTTTAGATCTTCAAGCTGAGGAAAGTCAGCTCAAAAACCTGGAACAATCAGGTGACATCTGAATTTTTATGTGAAAACTTTTTTTTTTTAATTTTTAAATGTCATCTACATATTCAACTAAATCTGCAAAAGCCCAGTGCATGGACCAAATGAAAGCGGCCACACTGGCTGGCTACTTTAAGGACTCTTTAAGGACCGTTAAGTAGATGAGGAAACGAGTCCCCCTGCTTCCACCCCAAGAAGAGACAGCTGGTCCTCGGCAAGGCTGTGTAGTTGAGATTTCTCACAAGTTAAGGCGCTGCTCAGCCTGAGAGTCGTCAGCACGGGGCACTTTGCCAGTTATTTTCATCTCCACGCTCTCATCTAGCACTGAGACTAGCATGTCCTATGGATAGCATGTCCTATGGAGGAAGGGCGTCATGAGGAATGCTGATAGACTTTCAAGTGAGAGGCACGACCCACAGGAGTGCAGACGGAGGACACGAAGGACACAAACCCCACAAACATTTATTCAGAATCTAGTGTGTGCCACTCACTGTGAAAGGTGGGGCATGTAATTCTCTCCAAGTTCTTTGCATGTTTGAATATTTCTCCTTCTTTAGATTTAAGCTCAAATATCTCTTCCTCAGAGAACTCTGCTGGACAGGACACCTCTCTGATGAAGCCTGCCTCCACTTTCTCCGTCTCTGAATTATCATTCTTCTCTCGCACGAATTAAAATCTGCAAGGACTGTAATTTTTAAAGGGCTAGCTCCCTGTATGAAAAAAAAAAGCAGGCTCCGCGGGGGCAGGGACTTCATACACTGTAGCTGCTCAACAAATGTGTGAATATTTCTAAATCTCCCCCTGAAAGAGTTTTGACCAGTTCTTTTAAATTTCCCTTGGCCTTCTGCACTATTAACACCATTATAAGGATGAGGTGAAATTGCATTTCGAGAAATGGTTAGGAGCGGAAAAACTGGTGCTCAACCGGTTAATTTTATGCTTCTTGTACCAACTGTGGTTCAGCTTGCAAATTATCTGCAAAGGAACCAAGCCTATTTTTAACGATCCCTGAACCTCGTAGATCAAGATGATGACATCAGAGAACCCCGAGTTCCACGTCCCAAGCCAAGCCTCGTGGTCCTCGAAAACTGCAAGCCCCAGGATTCAGCGCGGCGCAGGAACCCAGCGCCCCGCGCGCCACCGCCCTGGAACTAGGAAGACGCTCGATTCCTGTGCCCTCCACGCCGCCGGGCAGGCGCGGAGCCTGCTGGGACTTGTAGTATTCGCGGTTGGGAGTGCCCGCTCCGGAATCTCAGTCGCCGTCTGGTGGGGTAGAGGCGGCGCGTGCACGCGTGCGCAGTGCGCGGGCGGGCCGTCGTGGGCGCCGCTCCCGGCAGATCGGTGCCTGAAGGAGCCGGGAGCGCGGCGGCGCGGGTGCTCCCTGCGGAGGCCGCGGTAAAGTGGGGGCATGAGGCGTGCAGCTCGGGCGTGTGCGTGTGTCTGTGTGTGGAAGGGGAAAGCGGGGCGAGGGACGCGGCGCTGAGGCGAGTGGGAGGCGGCCGCCGGCTGCTGAGGGGCCGCGGGGCCGCGCCTCCCCGCGCGTCCGCGAGCGTGCGCTCACCTGGGCGAGGCCGGGCTCACCTGGGCGCCGCTCCTCTGCGCCCCGAGGCCCGCCCCGGGGGTCCCCGCCGCAGCCCACAGCCCCTCGTGTCCTCGCTCGCGTCGCCACGGCTCGGCCCCTGCCCGGGATCCCGGTGGCGACGCCTGTCGGAGCGGCGCGCCTCCGGGGCCGTGTCCGCCCCATCCCCGCCGCTCGCTCCCGCACAGCCCGCTTTCCCCGCGTGTGCGGACGGCGGGAGGCAGGACCGGGAGTGCCTTGGCCAAGGTCACTCGGGTGGGACCGGAGAGGCGCCCGAACTCAGGGCTCGGCGCTTGGAGGAGGGCTGCCGATCGGCCTCGGGGCCGCCCTCGCCCGGCTTGAGGTTCCTTTCGGATGCTTTCTGTTGACCCTCCGGGAGAGCGTCCGGGGAGAAAGTGGTGTCAGGTTGAAAGCGCCCTGCCGGTCGTGGTCCTCCCTGTGCTAGAATCTCTGCGCTGCTCGACACCCCAGCAGAGCCTTGACACAGGGCCGAGGAAATTCAGAAGGCTGATTTGCTGTCTGGGGCCAAGTCCCGAGGACAGGTAGTTGATGGCATTTCGTTTTCTGGTTGGCCTTTCCATTCTTTCTAATACTTGCCTGGGTGAGTTAGTTGGTCGTTATCTGTTTTAATAAGATTTTCTGTACTCTAATGAAGCCATTGCCCTTGGTAAATTAGTTTTCTAACTAGAAAAGCTTATTTCCTGTGTGTTTAATGACCGGAACAAATAGCCCACTCCAAGGTTTATACCATTGTCTTTTATCTTAAAACTGTACAGCAATCGGCTTTATTTCCCTCCGAGTATCTAGCGTCTGTGCTTTCTGCGTTGATTGCCACTGAAAGAATCCGCAGCGAAGTTTAGGAGATCCTTAAGTGATTCAGAAGCTTTGGGAGTAAAATGAAAAACCCATTTTTAGCTTACAGCTGGAGTTGAGGAACTATTATTTCAAAAATAGTAACACGAATTTTGAATACAGTGCATCTTTGTTTTTCTTACCAACACACTTGTGGCAAAGCATTTTTCTTTAAATCTGAATATTCCGTATTTTGGACCAACTCTTCCACGGAAAGTTAATGTTCTTTTTTAAGAGCAGAGATGCATTTAAACAAGAGTATTGAGGCAAAATTTAAATTAATAGTTTGTTTTGTAGTGTTATAAACCCTACCGTGTGCCAGATGTCAGATTTCTTCTGAAAAGCAACCCTGTGTCAGTGGACACAACTGCGATTCTGGGCTTTAATAAAGGGTCAGTAGCCTGCCACAGCAGGGACGTGATAAACAGTTGCCCTCTATCTCCCTTTGTTTTGTTCACTTACAGTTTCACTGTTGCTGTTGTGGGGGAAAGCAGCAGGTTTGTATCTTTTTTTTTTTTTCTGTCTGGGTTTCGCAGTGTAGCAAAATAGGAAAGACTGTACTGTGTACATCTGTTCAGCGGGGACTGAGACAGCGGGACAGGATAAGTATACAATTGTGAGGAAACGGCCATGAGTTCATAAGCAGGAAGGACCTTTTTAGAAGTATTTAAGGATGTTAAGAATAGCACTGGATTCTTTTCTTTAAACAGTTATTGTGGGCAGTATTCAAAGATGGGATAAGATGCTGTGGGCAACGCCTAGGAAGGTGGAAACTTAACTAGACTTTTCTACTGAAAAATTGACTTCTCGGCCTAAGGTTGAATGAAAGTTCTTTACTGTTGTGCTGCTATTCAGATTGCAAATCCCACTTTGTTTCCCCCTGCATAATTTGTAGAAGGAAATCCAAGAAATAATTTACTAGTGTAATTTAAGTCAGACTTTGACATGGACATGTTTTGGGGCATGCATTTGTCTTGTTCTTGTTTAAATAGCTCTGTAGTGCAAGAATGAAGAAGATGGTTTTTTGGTGGGATGCGGTGGGATGCAGTGACTTCAGATGTGCCAGTAGCTACTCTGCTTTGACTAGAAAGTTGCAAGAGTTGTAGCAGTGGTGCTTTAAGCCCCCACTGGATGCCAGGTGTAAGCTCGGTACACAGGTAATCACCTTTCACATGCCTGAGCAGTGCAGTTTTGGCATATCAAGACTTTATTTAAAATTTCAAAAATTGCTTCAGATCGGCAATAATAGACGTAGGAGATGAATATCAAATTTTAGTTTAATTAATTAATTCACTTATCTCAACCATTTGTGAATATACAGCATTTGAAAACAGATTGTCTTGTATATGAAATTACTTCATGTGGAAGAAACATTCAGTAGCTTTAGAAGCTTGCCTGTAGTTTTTAGAAACATTTATATGGGATGTTTTATATAAGAAAAAGACATCCTGTTGAGGTCATCTTTAATTTCAGCTCTTGGAAGGCAGAGGCAGGTGGATCTCTGAGTTCCAGGCCAACCTCGTCTATAGAAATTGTTTCATGACAACCTGGTCTACAGAGAGAGTTTCAGATCAGCCTGGTCTACATAGTGAGCTCCAGGGCTCAGAACAGCCAGAGTCACATAATAGAAAAAACTTGTTTTGTTTTTTTGTTTTGTTTTGTTTTGTTTTTTTAAAGAAATCCTTTTGGTAACTTGATTCATAACTACGACTGTTTCAGTTGAAGAGTAACTAAACAATTTAAGGATTAGTATTTTTCCTTTTAGGTTCTTATGTCATAAAGAATATGTACATTTGTAATTCCTAGAATATATTTAAATGAACATTTGTTTGATGAGCCTTTGGACAAATGGAATAACTTGGCTCACTCCTTCCTCCCTCCCTCCCTTCCTTCCTTCCTTCCTTCCTTTCTTTTTTCTTTTTTTCCAAGACAGGGTTTCTCTTTGTAGCCCAGACTATCCTGGAACCCACTCTGTAGGCCAGGCTGGCCTTGAACTCAGAGATCTATGTGCCTCTCCTTCCCTAGGGCTGGGATTAAAGGTGTGTGACACCACCAGACCACCACACCACCACCACCTAGTAAGCTTTGATGATAAAAGATAGTTTTTTGTGACTTTTATACCATATTTTCTTTGAACTGGAATTTTTCCTGAATGTAAAAGAAAATTAGAGTCATTTAGGACTTGAATATTTTTTAGAGTAAAATACTGTTTCTAACTAGAACTCCTAATTTGATTTGTCAGTCTGATAGATTTACACTCCAAAAGTTGTGGGTTTTTAAAAATTTGTTTAATTTTATTTTATGTACGTTGGTGTGAGGGTATCAGATCCCTTAGAACTGGAGTTATAGAAAACAGTTGTGACCTACCATGTGGGTGCTGGGAAGTGAACCCAGCTCCTTTTGAAGAGCAGACAATGCTCTTGTCCACTGAGCCATCTCTCCAGCCCAAGCCGTTGTTTTATACCTTTAGGCAACCATAGTGTAAACATTGAGTTCTCAGTTCTGGATTCTGTTTAGCCTCTTCTTGAAGAGAAGATAATTGTTAGCAGTTTCAAGAGTCTGATCTCAAGGTGTGATCTCAGAGGGCTTCTGATGCAGCCTCTTAGCCAGCACAGTAAATCTTCCCTATGAATTTTCCATGTCAGGTGTTCCTTCCCATTTTTAGGGGTGGTTATCGGGTCCATATGCCATTGGATTATTGGCAGTCTGAGCTAGTGAAAATAAACGTAACAAATTTCATATTCCACCGTTCACTATTTTTAGTCATGTTTGAAAGCTTTCTGTTTCCACCATTTCCCCATGAATAAGGATAGCTCTATCATTTTAAGCTATTAAATGTGCCTTTAATCCTAGCACTTGGGACGCAGAGGCAGGTGGAGCTCTGTGAGTTCCAGTATAGTCACAGCTATATAGTGAGACCCTGCCTAGGAAAAGGAAAAAAAAAAATCTAATCTATTTCAGTTTAAAGCATAAGTCTCATATTCATTTAGAACTCCTTTGCTTTCTTACCCATGGTCTGGCCACTTACTGTAACCTTTTTGCTGCCCCTCTTTGGGGATCTGCTTGGATAGAGACTGTTCTGAAGAATGGAAAGATGCACTTATTTCCTATCTGTTTCTCCTTGATTAATGGTGCAGCCATTGATGTCCTACAGACAAGCTGGTATTTTTGGTGATATTTTGCATGGAGACGCCCTACTGCACAGTTCCTGGATATGAAAGTTTTGTGGCCAAGCCTTTTTCATTCCTCACTCCCACCAGCTTGTTTTCTTTAAGGGAGGAGTGATGAAGAAGGGTAAGGATCTTTTTCTCTGTAGTCTTTTTTTTTTTTTTTTTTTGATAATAGCAAGACCACTTGAGTGCAGGTATGCTGACAATTCCCATGCAATCCACTGGAAACTCAGTGTCTTATGTTATGTGGTAGCTTACAGGCTGTTGCCCTGTTGCTTTTATTTTAGCTTTTTAATTTATTATTATTTTTTAAATCAGTTCTTATTGTTTCCTTGCTCAGGGAGGCAGAGTCTGTTGCACAGTCTTTTGTGCAAGCAGAAAGTAAATTGGAAGATGCAGTGTCAGTCTCACTCCTAGATAATCCAAGTTTTATGGAATAAAATATCTTGGGGACCTTACTACTATTTATGTGAACGCTTCCTGTCTTCCCTGTTCTTCCCCAAGACATGGAACACTTCTTTTCTCTCTCTCTCTCTGTTGGTGTTTCTATTGAAGAAAAGGAAGTTAAGGTAGTACTCAGTGGTGCCAGAGTCCTGAAGGCTATATGTGGCAGGTAGGTGAAGGTCATGTCTGACGGTACAAGTATCTATACTGTGGACTTTGTGTCTACAAATTAAGCCAACTGTAGATTGGAAAGATTTCTTCTGTTCTAGGCATGTACAGCCTTTTTTCTTGTCATACTGTTTCGTGGACAACCATCTACATAACATTTACGCTGTGTTCAGTATTGCAAGCAATCTAGAGGTGCTGCACAGCGGAGGGGGAAGGTGTGCGAGTTATGTGGGAATGCAGTGCTGCTTCACAGCAGGGCCTTGAGCAGCACTGGCGCCCTGAAACCAACCCCTCTGCGCAAGAAAGGATAACTGAACATCCTCTGTTTTGTCTTTGTGGGATTCTGGCCCATATAGCATCTGATTAACAAATAGTACAAAGTTCTGTGGCCGGAGGAAGTCTTCAGTGTAGAATTTACTTTTTTCGTCCTTTTTATTCTTTCTGTAATTTTTGTTTTGTGTCTTGCCTTGCTTCTTGGTTCCCAGCTGATGCGATGAATGATAACTATGAATGTTAATTTTTGACTGAGTTTTAACTCTAACTGTGCTGTGGTACATATATATCAAGTTGAAGAATAGATTTGAGGAGGTAGATTGATCATGTAATTTTATGTTGGTTTTTTTTTTTTTTCTTCCTGATGCTTGCTTTACTGAGAGTTTAAGTTCAAATAGAAATATACTACTAGGGCCCCCCCCCCCCCCCCCGTCATCTAAACAAACTAGTTAAATCTGCTATGTGACTTCTTGTCTGATGAACAAAAAGCAGCTTTGTATCTGGAAACCTGAACATTCGACTTAGTAATTATGGGTTACTTCCTGAAGGTAGTTTGTGACCATCTTCCACCATGCTGTTGTAGACTTTGAAGAAACAGCAGTGAGTTAACAAAAACAAAAATCTCTGCTCTCGTG